AATAATCTAATTTTTATTAGTAAAATTCAAACACTCGTGATAGGAATAAAACATATACATAAACCTTTGAAATAAATAAATAAATGTATTATAAATCTCGCCAATTTTTCTTAACAGAACATAAAACCAATAATAAATATCCCCGATAGCCCTAAGTAACAAAGAACAGAGGTACTCCTACGCAATGATGTCAACCTGAGGGATATTTTTTATTTCGACAGGGAAAACCGGTTGGGAATTTTTTTAACGCTTTAGCATATAGCCCCAAGGCTGAGGGAAGAGGGAATATACACACCAGTGCTTAGCTACAGGCAAATCTGCTCTGAGCGGATTGCAAGAAGTCTCTCCGTTTAAGCGTCTGTGTTCAACGGTCCCAGGCGTTCTCAACTCAAATCAGTTTAATATGGGATGATACGGGCATCGCGTCTCAGAAATAAAAAAAATGTATACGTGAATTCGGAATGAAAATCCGCTTATTCTTAGCGAATTTCAAAACTCAATAACGAAAAAGGGATGATTCAATAGTGAATATGTCATGGAGAAACAAAGTTGAATAAATTTAAAATTTAAATTCTGGATCGCAACTACGAGCTAAATAAGGAAAAATAAAATTACTGAATTAAGTAATTCAACAAAATCCAAATGAATATCCTCGTATTTTCGGCTTTTATTGTATACTAATTGTATTAATTAGCTAAATAAACAATTAATAACAAGATTTTGTATCTTTAATATCTTATTATATCTAATTATGACACACAGGAAGATTAGACAACACATGTTATGTTACAAAGTTCTGGTAATATTATACTAAATGATTTAATAATTATTTTCACAAGAAGTTCACAGATAATAGGATGCTAGGCATTTACAGATGCTCAATATAACAAGAAATTTCAAGACTATAATATAAACTTGTGCATTTCGATTATCAAAGTATTTTTAACTTACAATTACTTTCCTTCATCCAGAGTAATGATACAGGAAAAGTGTGCAACCTTTTTGTGTCATTTTTAAACGCTCATAGCACTGCTTCTATAAATGCTAAAAAGTGAGAATTGATATCATTTGACAAAGAATGTTTGGCATTAGAGATTACATAAAGAATTTTCAGATTTGGACTTAAGGCGGAAATAAAGAAGACCAAGTTAAAAGTTTATAATAAATTTTATTCACTGTCACTAGCGGATTCAGGTTTTAAATTTGGATTCCTAAATATGAATGCCTTATGTTAATTTTTTATCGAAAAAAAGTTTTAAGTAAGTCATTGTCAATTTGAACAATTTAAAAAAAAAAAGTAAATTTGCAGATGTGACGTACTGTGGAGTTTTGATTGAGTTTTAGCTATAGCTAATTCCAAGCTTGTGTGAAGTTGTACTTAAGTATGATGAACCTCAAGCCACATTGTTAAGTCAACGTAGCATTGGTATCAGGGAGCTGGTAATTTCTTGCAGAGATGTCAACTGAATTAGATCTCATCTTATCTGGCATAAGCGACACACTTGATCAACCATAGCCTGCTCAAATAAGGATTGCCAGTCCTTTCTACTGCTTGCCACTGCCTTCCAATTCCTTAAACCAAACAGTTTTCTTGAGTCCGTAGCCACACAATCCTTCCAACGAAGCTTGGGACGTCCTACTCGCCTTGTACAAAATTCGCTCCGACAAAAGTTTTAATGGGATCTCTCTCTCTGGTTCATTCTAATAACATGACCAGCCCAGCGGAGTCGTTCGAATTTGATGAAGCTAAGGACATACCCTTCTTTATAAGCTAGCTTCGACATTGGTCGTCATCTCTATTCACTTACACCTTCATATATTCTGCGGAACATTTTCCTTTCGAATTTCAGAAGGGCTCGTTCTTGACCTTTTGGCATCGTCCGACATTCTGAGCCGTATGTAAGTATAATCGTAATCAGGATCTTATAAATCCTTGCTTTGGACAATATGCTGGTCCTTACACGCTTTTGGAGTGCAAAGTATGTATGATTCGCTGAAACAATAGGTCGCTCTGTTGCTTCTTGCATATTTGTTTTTGGTTGACTTGGGATCCTAAGTAGATAAATGCTTGTAATTTTTCGATCCAGAGAGGGCATATCAAAGGGAATCTCTCAGCCATTTTAAAAAAAAAAAAAAAAAAAAATGAAAGAATTTTACGATGTCTGAACCATAATCTAAACCATGTTCCAAGTAACACTTAATAAAGGTAATTTAATGCAGGTATTAAATATTGGTATTTTTAAAAACAAGTATTTAATTATGATGAAATGAAATGAAAATATTTTTTTATTATCCTGGGACTGTTGTCCCTTTAGTACAAATTATAGTTATAGAAGAAATGCCTGTGTGACCATACATTAAATTATATATTTACAAATAAAATGATATGAAATCAATGAAGGTGGGGATGTGAGATACGTGTAGGCTAATTTTTCTCATGCCACGATACTTAGCTTAGCAAGAGACCACGGACCATATGTCAAATGCATGAAGTTTAACAATCATATCTAAAAACGACGTAGAGATTTAGAATATAATAAAAGAAAGATTTAAGTTTAAGCGAGATAAATCCAAGTGATTAATTGTGAGCCAGAAATAATTTTTAAATTCTTGCGGACTACTAGTTCATGAAGTGAATGTCCCAGAGAATTCGACTGCTGGGAATCGATGGCAGGCACTCTGGTTCACAGGACGATCAATCCACAAATATTTACACATGTCTCGTCTTCCGCCTCCTAATACCAACACCTCCCGCTGTCTCCTGTTAGGTGTCCTTCCAAAGGAACCTTCTGACAAATCCACCCTCTCACAAAACATGGTCAAACTAACTTACCTCTGTCAGAGATCAGAAGGATATAGGAAGTAATGAAAAATAGATATTAAATAGTAGACTATTCGAAAAATTTACATTCTAGGCAAACAGAAAAGGACATATGACTGCATATTCTAAATATTTTTCATCCTTGTAAATTTAATAGTCAACTACATCTCCACCCCAAAAGAACTCAACAAAAGAACTTGAATTGATAAATTATCTTCTAATAAAATTTGCCCAAACGACTTTACCTATTTCGTTGAGACTGAAAATGTATCAACAAAATTTAAATCTACAATAAAACATTCCTTGCTGTGATAACAATTTATTGGATTTTTTTGAAAAATAGAAAAACTTATTATTTAAAATTATAAATAACATTCATCATAAAATTAAAAGTATTTTTAATTATAAAATTCTGAATTTTATATGGAAAATATTTCAAATTAATTTAATTTTCAATCAATTTCAGTATGGCCTTTTCCTTCTGTCACACGAATTTCCACAGATTTCAATCTATTCGTTTTAGAAAAACAATTTTAAGTGAATTTTGCTGTTCGGATAAAATTTCGATGCAGTAGTAAAAAATAATGACTACTTTAATTTTAAAATTGATATTACCATCAAGAGCTAGATCGTAAAAGATAAAAATTTATCAAGCTGAGATATCATGGAAAAAGTATTTTAAAAAAAATAATAATAATAAGCAGCCAGGCTAATGCAAAATTTGGAGTTAAATCGAATTTTATTGTTGAAAAAAATATTTATATATTTCAAATATTCCAAAGGAAAATTCAACCAGAAAATTATTTTTCCAAAATAAAGTTATATTTCTATTCGACATGTGGAAGATTGCCTAAATAGTATTTCAAGTTATAAACCCAAGGTTGTTTTCTGATGAGATAATTGGTGAAAAACAAGTATGGCTTCTACCATCTACCTAAGGCTTCCTAAAATCGATAGTTGAAATCGGCTAATTCTAGAAAGGAAAATTCGTCATAGTAATGGTTCATAAAGACAATGGATAACGTTTTTTTTTCGTGGAAACAGATAAAAGAACAAAACAATAGAAGTAAATTATTGAATCAACAGTAAAAAGTTTACTAAAAACAATGGGTGACTATTACCCGGCATTAGTCGGTTATCATAGCTAGCGTTTGAGTCACACTTTATCTTGAACAACGACGCAAGACTCCTTTCGAATAAATAAAAAATAATATATAATCCAACGTTGTCAGAAATCAAAATAAAAAAGTAATTCACATTCAGCTGCTAAAAACTTTTAAATTGAAAACTGCTGTTAAAAACTCATTTTCTCATTTAAAATATTTTATATCACAATATATAATATATAATATTTTAATATATATAAATATAAATATATAATATTTTATATAAAAATAAATTTATATAAAAAATAATAATAAAGTTTCTTCTAGGTTATAGAGAATATAATGAGAAAAAAAAACTCTCTGAACGATAAAATTAACCAATTTTTAAAAACAATATTACGTTTTGTAATTTAAAATACTCAATATAAATTTTTCTAACAATCGGACAAAAATTAAATGTACAGCTATGCAATAACAACAAATTAAAGCCCGGAATTAAAATTAGATTATTATATAATTAAGAGAAGGCTGAGAAATGACATAACGTCTATATAATGACTAAGTAATTAATTCAGAAAATGACAAAATAATTTGTGTAAAATTACATGTTAACTAAATATTTAAAAAAAAATAATGACTATTTTTAGCGGTGATTTTTTTTTATTAAATATTAAAAAAAAGAATTTTAAATAATAATTCTGAATAATAAATCAATAAAATTTAAAATGTGTTATTTAATTAAATAACATATTTTCCTAATTTTTAAGTAAGTATCTAAATTAAAATTCAAGCGTTCCACAATTTTATTGATTAAAAAAAGAATGGAATATTGTTGTTGTTTATTGTTAAAATAAAATTTATTAAATCGTTTGTGAACAAAATTTGTTAGGCATTTTTAAGATTAACGATCAGGTACGAAGAACTGTACAAGAATTATAATAGATTACACAAAAAAAGTTTATATTTGAAATGTATTTATTTTGCTGAATTGAGGTAGCAATCGTATTTTGAAAACAGCTTATACAACAAAAATTGTACTCTCTCGGTAAAAGTTAGCTCCAGGATTTTTTCAAATGCTGACCCACGTGTATGGGCACGTGACACAAGCCATCCAAATGAAGCAGTCTACAAAACGGGATGTCTACGGATGCCTCATCCAAAACGCACTCATCACGTGGATACAAAACAGATCCGCGCACAGTTACGCAACAAACGCACTTTGTAAACGGGACAAAGCGGCCGAATTAATAAAGGCTAATACAGATGGCAGTGGAGGAGAGAACGGGCGGGCCACGTTGCCGGCTCTGGCGGGAGTACGCGGCAACGCCGCCGGCCGTCTCAGCGACAGCTCTACCCAGGACCTCGGCCGCCAATAATTAATGCACTACGTAACATGGCCAATATGGGCTTATGGAGATAGTCCCGTCTCCTGCCGCATCTCCTATATCTTTAATTATTAAAGGCAACTTGTTAATTCTGATCTCCTTGTCCGGAGAAGAGCTTAGGCGGAACTGGTTTATGATCAGGCAAAGATAACATTAAGTGGTCAAATGCAGTAAAGCACATATAAGATTAGTGACGAGATTAAATAGTGTATGCGTGTAGTGAACACGTATTTTATATATATATATATATATATATATATATATATATATATATATATATATATATATATATATATATATATATAGAGAGAGAGAGAGAGAGAGAGAGAGAGAGTGTGTTATTGTTTGCTTTTAGTTTTTACTTTTTGTCATCTTACCTTCTGTTTTTAAATTTCACATAAAAATTAATGTAATTTAAATTAATTATATTATTAAAAAATGCAATGACGTTGAACTGTTTATTCAAATCGTGATAATGTACATAGCTGATTAAAGTGATTATTACATTAAGTATTTTATTATATGAAGTATTTTTATCATATAAATTTATATAAAATAATTTTTTTTTTTCCTTTAATCATGAGTTACCAAGACCATTGTAAACAACATTATTGTAAACAATCTTTTATAATATAAACTGATCCAAATATAATCAAAATAAACGGGTTTAAAACCTAATGTTTTAAAAAAAGAAAAAAAAAAGGTACTTAATTTATAATGGTAAAACAAAGATATTTTAAAAAGAAAATAGAATAGAAAGAGTTATGATATGATCAATTTTACATAAGTATTTAAATTAATTAACTATTTTAATAATGATTTGTCCTGAGAGGGTGTTTTAAATTAATAATAATTTTTATAACATAACAATAATTTAATTTTATATTACTGAGTTAATATAAACATTATTATTATAGGATTAAGACAATTTCAGGATTATTTCATAAGATTTTTTTTTTTAATTTAACATTAGAACATTTTGTCAAATAAAATGTCTAGTAAATATTTAAATTAAATTGCAGTGCATAGTTAATTAACCATTAATTGTATTTTTTATAGGGTTCAATGCCAAGTGGGATAAGGGAATTATTATCTAAACTCTGATAAGTTATTCAATTACGGCTTGATAATTGCAAATCGTTTACCTCATAATATGATAAAATAATATTTTAAAACAATTTTCTTAATTAAATTAATTAGCTTAAAGAAAAAAAAAATAATATGATGAAATTTAATGAAATAAACAAATACAAAGAATTTCGACATAAATAATATTTTATATTACAATGCTTTAAATTAATGATATATTTATTGTTATCATGATTCTCTCATTGTGTTGATAAACATATTTAAAAAATAGTCAGAAGGAATTTGTACAATCAATAGATATAACTTAGAAAGGGGGAAAATATAATATTATAAATGAATTTTAACATGTTTTGAAATAATAATAAAGAAAGATAAGACAAAAAACCGAAATAAGAAATTTTAACGAATAATTAAAGTATTACTGACCACAAAAATAACAGCGAAATAAGTTCAATGAATAACATTTCCAGGAAATATTCCAATGTGGAACGAAACGATTTTACTACGTCAACAAACAATGGGAGGAAATCAGCTACTGTTAGCATCGGCTGGAAAAACTATTGTGGAAAACGCCTGTAGAAAGTTTGAAACCAGCCCGCGTCAGTCATTTGGAATATTGCGTCAGTTCATGGAAACGAATAATAAATACAAAAAACCAACTTATTGTAGATGTATTCATTCCCTATTTTATGGGAATTTTTTTACAAAATAAAACGATGTATTTATACATAGTACGGTAATTATTTTTAAATGGAGCATTGAAAATTGCATAAAAAATTATTATACGAAGGAAAAAGAAATTTGGCAAGCTTTTGGGCATAATATATTTAAAGAATTCAATTATCCCACCAAATTAAATATTCACTAAGTGATACTCAATTTCAAAATGATTTATAGCTTTAATTTGTTAGAAGTTATAATTTTGAAAACGTTTTCAAAATTTACATTAATTTTTTTCACTTCACAGGATACAGGTGTATCTTAAGAAATTATTAAAAAAGAAAAGAATGCAAATATTAATTTCTGATATTCAGTAGTGATAAATTTTACAACCGACTCCTTCGTAATTCCTTGTCATGGTCACAAGTATTGACAACACTGTTTCATTTTAAATTATTGTCCCACATATTATTTATTCCAAATGAATAAATACTAACTTAAAATATATGTCCATTACATTACGTCCAAAATCATTTTCTGATCTACTGGTAATATCGACGAAGAAACTGATTCTAAAAAGATGTCGATTGTGGAGGCAAAAAGACCGAATTAAATATTAATTCGAATTAAACCTATAATAAATTCCATATTAAGTTTCATGAAATTATTGCTACTTGAAGAGAATTTGTTATTACTGTTTTAATTTTAGAATGATATTGTTACAGTAGATTTTGAAATATCATTCCAGGAATGTCACTCATGCGAGGGTTCAGTTTCAATTAAAACAGTCGCTTTGCCCCTCGCGTCCATTCCGGCTGCGGCTCGATGGGAAATTAAGGATCATGCATCATTTCTTTTTTCCAACAACAAAAACAAACGCATCCGGAAGCTCGGCGAAAAAACCTTTGTAAAAACCGTACAGGCGAACTGGTTCAAGCAATGAAGGATTTCTTGATAAAGTTATGTTATGAGGCAGGAAAAAAAAAATGAAGGCACATATGTTTGTGCCAAAAAAATGATAACGAATTAAAGTGCTCTCTTCAAGAGAATGAAATAACTCCCATCTGGTATGATAGAAACATAATTTCCCCTTTTGAGGCAGAAATAAGTTTAAAATAAAATGTATTTCCGACCTGGTATGAAGGTAATTAAACAAAATGAATACTTTTAATATAGAAGAAGTATTTTAACATGAACGTAGCAAAGGATAAATCGGACGAATTCTAAATTATTATTTTGTAGAAAAAAAAGTATCCACAAATTTTAATTAAGTTATAAAAAAATTGCGTAGACCGTTGTACTATCATACATATTGATTCAACTAGCAGGTCGCTACGTCACCCATATCTGGATGACCTTATGTTTTGGTGAGATTCCCGTCACCAACTTGTAACACGAAGTGACAGACATGTTAATATAGATAGGCCAAATGGCCTTGTAAATCTTGCATAGTTACAAACACTTACAGAATATTTTAATATTTCATTTGTAATGTTTTCACGCTTGGTATTTATTTATAGAAATTTATTTATCAAAAACTTCATGATCGAATAAAATTTTTTTTCAACCATCAATTGAATATTTTGTTGTGAAAATCATGCCTTACGTAATACCGTAATAGCTTAATTTTATTTTTATAACAGATCTTTCAAAGAATTGTTACCGCAGTAATTAATGAAATAATCAATACGTTTGTATAAACTGAATTATGACTATTATTTCAAGATATCAATCTTTATTTTTTTAATGGTTTCAGTTCATTATTGTTTCTTTCATCTTCATAATTTCTACCTTAACACTCTTATTATTGCAGGTTGTCGATAGTTATGGTAATTAATAAAAACTTTAGAATAATCGTACTTACATAATTCGTCACTGTACACAAGCACGTTTAAACTTAATCAATAAAAGCAATCATCTCATTTATATTATTGGTTAATTGCAAAAAAAAGTCATTAAGTAATATTTCAAACAATCATCATAAAAAATAGTGTTTTAATGAGTTTTCTCCTTGTAAAATAAAAACATTGTGCACTTATTGTACTACTTGGTTAGTAATGGGGTCTATGTTATATTGATACACATCAACAAATATGTACTTAAATATTACATATTTATATTCGATATTTTCTTTTATTTATATAAAATAAATTTATTACATTCTTATTTTTTAATTTTTTAAGTAGTTAACTTTAAATCCGTTCACAGTGACACGAAAAATAAATAAAAGAAAAGTCATTCATTTTATAGAATCTATTTTAAGTTTATATCGTTTATATCGGAAAGTGGTTTTACCTAAAACGAATCTAACGATCTATCTAAGAGCCTAAACCACTACTGGCGGTGTTCAAACTAAGAGAACCCGAATTTAGACACTAATGTAATGTAACTGATACTGTTATTATAGTGGAAACCCCGAATGTTTGGAGCTTTCAGGTTTAATCTAGTCACACTCCAACGTTTTGTACCGCCAATATATTATCAGCAGAACGTCAAGGGATCTACCAGAAACTACCTAATGAAAGGTCCCAGAAAATAGCCGTTGGAGTCTAGGCGTTGTCTATTTAACGATAGGAAATCTCTCAAGGCAGAAACTAGCACATCCCATTATGGGCTCACTCAAAGACTCTGTCAGGCTTATTTCTAGAGTCTGTATATAAAGATAGAAATAGCTTCATTTACAACGCTTCGTTGATATGAAGCAGCTGATAGCATCATTTCTAATTCTGAACCCTAACTTGTAAAATACACAGGCAATATCAAGTATTTTCTATTGGCAAGGTCCTACTTAATTTATAACACGCCTAACGAAATTAATCGAAAAGTCTAAAATATTTGGATTATTACTCACAAAGAACATAAACACTCATAAGAATTATTTTTAGTTAAAAAAAAGAATCACCATCTCAATGAAGGTTTGCCGAGAAATAATATATATATTAATTAAATTAATATATATAATATATTAAATCAGTAAGAGCATTATTTAAATTATTTTTAAAAATGAATACTTTTTTCTAATAATTAAATTATTCAAAAAGAACTTCTATTTATTATTTAAATTATTATACGATTTTATTTTATATTATTGAATTGATTCCAGATGAATTAGAGGAAAAAATCCTTTAGAAAAAGAAAAAGGTAAAAGAACTGGTTTTGTTCCGAAATTTCACTAGTAAATTTATAAAATTAAATAAAACTTAATGAATATTATTAATTTATAATTACATTTTCATCATAAT